TGGGGCAGCCACAGCTCCTCTGGGCACCCTGTGCCAGCGCCTCAGCACCCTCACAGGGAAGAAAGCAACTAGAAATGAAGAGAGGAAAGATGTGCACTGGAGATGTGATACTAGCTGGGGAGAGGAGACAGGCGAGGCTGCAGCCCGGGGGTAAGAAGAAAGAGAAGACACTGCACCAATCCCTGTGTGAGCTGGGGTGCTGCGGGCTGACGGCGATGCTGGAGAAAGGCTCCAGGGCTGAGCTCCTGCTGGGTGGCCCGACACAGCCGGGGGACACCAGGGTCACCGAGCAGGGACCAGGCCGCAGCTGTTTGCAAACCACCAGCACAGGAGAGTTCAGCAGCCCCCCGGGACTGGGGGGTCCCGCTGGTCACGGTGGCAGGGAGGGGAGCCCATCGCCTCGGGCGGGAGGGAAAGCATCCAAGGAACACTATGCTGGAGCAGAAATGCTGTGGGAGGCACAGCACCAGCAAAGGACTTCCACACCAGGGTAATCAGCCTGCCAAGGGAGGAGGAGGAGGAGGAGGCTCTCAAGTGAAAGCAATTTCACTGGACAGAAAAGGCAGCAGTAAACGGAGCCATTTCCCAGCTCACCGAGGGGGAAGGAGCTCTAGTGGGGACGTGGTTTGAGCAAGAATTGCCTTAGGTGGGGGATGGAGGGAGAAGACACTTCTGGGCTTCCTGCAGGCTTCCTGCTCACAGAGAGAAGGGCAGCAGCTCCTTGCGGTGCTCCCTGCTATGGCAGCACACTTCTTCCCTCTGGAGGGCTGGGCAGAGGCTTGGGCAAGGGGGAAGTAACAGTTGTGAAGCAGAGGTTCAAAAATGCATTAGAAAGAAGCCACGTGCTGCTGTGCTGACCAGGGCCTGGCTGCTCCCTGGGGCTGCTCTGGGGTGCTCGGTGTCTCACAGGGCATGGGGCTGGTTCTGCCCTGGGCAGAACCCATTGCCACGGCTCCAAGGATTAGGTCTCAGCATCTGGAGGCCGGGGCGGGCTCTTTATTCAGGGTTAAGAAGCATTAGGAAGGGATGATAAGAGTTAATCCCAGACAGGCATCTCTCAGGGCTCCGGAAATCACATCCTTCCAAATCCTCCCTCCTGTTGGGGTGGGCAGGGGCAGGGCAGGAGCACAGTGTGCACCAGGGCAAGCAAAGGCAGCCCGGAGATGGCCCAAAGACTGGCCAAAGACCGGTGCGGGCTCTGTTCACTTGCTCCTAACCCAGCCAACCCCTTGAGCTCTGCCTGCGCCCTCCTCCTGCCTTCCTGCTCTACAGCATCAGTCCCGTTTTCCCAGCCAGCCCCTCACCACCCTCCTGAGCTGCAGCAGGAGCCCAAACTGCACCAGCCCTGTCTCCCAGGGGGCGGGGAAGGGCGGGCCTCAGCCCAGCCACGAGATGAGGGCAGCGATAGGCGCCCGCTCCTGTTAATCATTAACAGCTGGTGCAGATTCCCCTTATTTTACTGACACTCCTTCCCTCCCAGCACCAGCTCCACCGTCCCTCCAGGGTCAGCTCCGCGATTAGCAGTTGCTGATGAGGCAAGCTGAGCAGCCAGGCAATGCAGGGCAGCCTCTGATGGCTGCAGGAGAAGAGAGGGTTTGGGAGCAGCCCTGAGCAGGGCAGGAGAGGTGCTGTCGTGCCTGGGCTTGGCATGAGCCATGGCAGCAGCCCCTGTCTCCCCTCCAGCG